GGTAGATGGATAAGTAAATAAACAGATAAATGGGAAAGTAAAAGTAAATGGGATAGATAAGTGACTGAATCAACGTGGTAGAATAAATAAGAGAATAAACTCCAAATATTTATGAATTATTAGCACAAAAAAAAATCAACGTCGGTATTAATACTACTATTTATTTATTTACCATACGTGCAGATGCCAGCACACTGAAGATTTTTAATAATTTTCATAATCACAAAATAGGCACATGATCGTGATTCAAGATGTCTTATCATAGTTTGGATATCCTGCTGTATTATTGCTTGCTAAAAATTATTTTCTTTATTACGAATTGTGCTTGGACTTTTCAGACTTTTTCTTTTCTCTGAGGACTATGTTTAGGGTAATAAAGTGCAGTTTATTTTTTATTTATTTATTATTATTATTTTTTTTTTGTAAAGTAGAGACATTATATATATATATATATATATATATATATATATATATATATATATATATATATATATTATTTATATATGTATACGATTACAGCATTGGGTTGATGAAAACACATGTCAATATACCCATTTATTGTACTATCCTCCGTGTGTTTCTCTCCATTTGGCTTTAATTTCCCAATTGCCACACACAAAAGGTCTACATTACTTTTCTCGCAACGTGATTTAGTGATGAATTAACCACTTCATTCCCATAGTGGGTGTTGAATCATTATTAAGAACAATGTGTGGATATAATCTTAGTCATCATGTTAAGATCATGTAATTACATATATAATGTGCAGTGAGATACACCTGTGAGTTGTTAGCTGAGCGTGTGAGTGTGTGTGTGTGTGTGTGTGTGTGTGTTGTGTGTGTGTGTGTGTGTGTGTGTGTGTGTGTGTGTGTGTTTTCTCGATCATATGAAGTCTCTGAGAACGTGACTTGCGGGACTAGGAGTGAAAGAAGAGAGAAAAGAATAAAGGTGGAGATGAAAGAAAGAGAGAGAGAGGAGAGAGAGGGGGGGGGAAGAAGGAGGGAGAGGAGAGGAAAAGAGAGAGAGAGGAGAGGAAGAGAGAGAGAGAGAGAGAGGGAAAGAGAGAGAGAGGAGAGGAAAGAGAGAGAGAGAGGAGAGGAAAGAGAGAGAGAAGATAAAGAGAGAGAAAGAGAGAGAGAGAAGATAGAAATGAGAGAGAAAGAGAAGAGAGAAGTGAGAGAGAGAAAGAGACGATAGGAGTGAGAGAGAGAAAGAGACGATAGGAGTGAGAGAGTGAGAGAGAGAGAAGAGAGAGAGAGAGAGAAAGAGACGAGAGGAGTGAGAGAGAGAAAGAGACGAGAGGAGAGTGAGAGAGAGAGAAAGAGACGAGAGGAGTGAGAGAGAGAAAGAGACGAGAGGAGTGAGAGAGAGAAAGAGACGAGAGGAGTGAGAGAGAGAAAGAGACGAGAGAAGTGAGAGAGAGAAAGAGACGAGAGGAGTGAGAGAGAGAAGAGACGAGAGGAGTGAGAGAGAGAAAGAGACGAGAGGAGTGAGAGGAGAGAAAGAGACGAGAGGAGTGAGAGAGAGAAAGAGACGAGAGGAGTGAGAGAGAGAAAGAGACGAGAGGAGTGAGAGAGAGAAAGAGAGAGAGAGAAAGAGAAGAGGAGAGAAGAGAGGAAGAGAGAGAGAGAGGAAAGAGGAGAAGAGAGAGAGAGAGAGAGAGAGGAGAGAGAAGAGAGAGAGAGAGAGAGAGAGAGAGAGAGAGAGAGAGAGAGAAATAGAAACAAAGTAAATCCACGTCAAGACAGAGACGAGACAGAAAAGAGGAGGGAGAGGGTGAGGGAGAGAGAGGGGGAGAGGGAAAGAGAGGAGGAGAGGGAGGGAGAGTCAGGGGGAAAGGAGAGAGCGAGAGCAAAGGAGGGACAAAAGCCAAACACCCATCAAACTAAACAACCGGCGGAGAAAGGGACAAGGGCAGGGGAAAGGGAGCGAAGAGACTAAGTAATTCGTTTTTCTGGATCCTTCCTCGACAAGCATGCCATGTGGGACGAACATAAACCTCAGAGAGAAGCATCGATCTCATGTTCAGCGATGAGGTAAGACCAGGCAGGCTTGTCTCATGTTCGCTGGCAGATGAGTGGAGGCCACACCTTGGTACCTAATCACTGACAGCTGTACACTCTTTGGTGATTTTCCTATCAAGTTGTCGATTGGGGTCTTGATTTCCTTAATGCTTCGTAGACAGACATCTGGATTTCATTTTTTTATTCAAGGGAATGGAATGGGATGAGGATTAGATGCTCTTTTGTTTTATTGTTTTTTTTTTTCTTTCTTGTGGTTCGTCTCTTGTTTCCTTTAGTCTTGAGCATGTGCTGTCGTCTTGAAACTGCGCTGGGTGTGCGAGCCTCTCTTTCGCAGTGACAGCCTTGTTGTAGATAATGTTCAGCGGTTAGTTCAACACTCACGACCGGTTTGTTTAAACTGTGCGAGTCCCGAGTGAACATTCATTATAATGGCATGCTTAGACTCTGAAATAGATGCAAATCTATCAGTCTAGACATACATAGACCTTAGCGATCAGTTTCCCAGAATTTTTCGGGTGCGCCCCTGAAGAGTCTTGGCCTGGGCTGGCGACCCTAAATATGTGAACACGTAGTAATATATCCAACCATTTTTAGTTATACTTGCAGCTGTGTATTAGCGTACGTTATTCTGTGCTTTTATATTATCAACTCACTGAATAAAAAACATTAACTTTTACTGACATATTCAGCTATAGATTATTTTATTCTTCTTGTAAGGCCTTCTGACGACCCTCAGAAAACCTGGTGACCCTCATTTGGGTCGCGACCAATGGGCTGGCTACCACTGGTATAGATAGATAAGTGTATATATATATATATATATATATATATATATATATATATATATATATATATGTATATATATATATATATATATATATATATATATATATATCTGATAGACAGGCTGATATACATTTATTTCTGTGTATATGCATGTCTGTATGTACGAATATTCAGTGGGCCGGGCCTCGCACAATTTTAACAATAAGGAGACTTACAAGAGAAATATTGTTGAAGAGCCTGTAATCACTCCCCTGTGATATGTTACCTACTCTTATAACTTTATCTTTGTTTAGTTAGTAGATGTGTTCTTTAGTTAGATGCTTGCCCCTTGCTTCGTCTGAAATTACAGTAACTTCGATGTTATGCTGCCGACCAATTCGCTCTTTGAGGGAAAGTGTTCCAACGACGGCTTTAAACCAATGGCACACAGCAGGTCATTTGCTGGATGATCCAAACCGATCTGGGGATTGGGTTCATGTTAAACGGAAATGCTCTCGTTACACTCGTCTTGCCAATAAGTACTGTGCGTGCAAACTGGCAGCGAGCAGACACGGGCAGACGCGAGCGGGTACGAACTGGTTGATGCTGGTCCTCCTCGAATAAACTTTCATTTAAATGAGGAAACTAAGGTTTGCCTTCGTTAAGGATTACAGACACGGTTAGAGAGATTGAACTGCGCGATTCAGGCGAGAAAAGAGCTCACGTCTATAGGCCGCCGCGCAGTTATGGGACACTGCGTTATAAGACTTCCCGCTTCAGCCCGCATCAGCCCGCGCCAGCCCGCATCAGCCCGCGCCAGCGCGCCAGCCCGCTTTAGCCCGCACGTCCAACCCGAGCTCCCTTACCTCTGTTCAGTCTTTTCGTTGATGGTTCAAATAGAAGAAAAAAATTAAAACCAACCAACAAACAAACGTCATATTTGTCTCTTGTCTGTTTCTGTCTATTGTCTGTCTGTTGCCAATGCCACACAGGATATAGTTTCCTGTGGCTTCCATTTCACCAAGATAAAGATAAAGGTATGGATAGATACCACTATCATCATCATCATCGTCATTACCATAATCACCATCATCACCATGACCATGGCCATCATCACCAACAGCAACAAACACACACATACGGACATACACACATCCACATACACATAGAGATAGATATACATATGCACATACATATAAACTTACACTTACACATAAACATACACATGCCCATGGACATACAGCTGCAATAACAATAACAACAAAAGCAACCACATTTTTGTGGTCTGTCTCTATTTGTTCATTTTCTTATTTTTCTTACTCTTTTTCTCCCTTTATCTCCCCTCTCTCTCCCTCTTTTCTCGCTCCCTCCCTCTCCTC